TTTTTAGAGATAATAATTTATATTAAAAATTATCTGCTTAGCATGGGACCTGGTCCATAGTAGGTCCTTACTAAGTATTTGAATATCAAAAGGGTAAATCTGTTTGAACAAGAATTGTCGTGTTTTTCCCCCTCAATACAGCCATAAGTGAAAATAACATCCATTAGAATTCCCTTTTTATTTCTTCTCTCTCTAGGGAACTGCTCTTCATCCTTCACATCTTAGCCACATAGCACCTTCTTTCTGGTGCCCTCCCCCTCCCCAGGCAGAGTCCTAAACTCTTTCCGCCTTGCTCCTTCCTCTCTTACAGCACCTATAGCATGTTTTTGCAGTTGTTTGCATTATCTTCTCCTTGCTGGACTGTGAGCCACTTTACAATATGACTGTCTTTTTCATCTTTGTAGCCACAGTGAATGGCACAGAGTCTGGTCCACAAAGGGCTAATAAATGTTTACACATCAAAAGATAAATGAAGCAATTCAGTGTCCCTTATATAAACGCCAACTGAACACTTTTCCTTAAATTCAGTAACAGGAAAACTTGATTATTTCCAGTATATTTTTATTGAGTTTATGCTTTTTTCAAAACACTTTCCTGATATAATAGAGATTTCTGTGTTCCTTACCACCAAGGACGTCTCCATCAGGTGAGGGAGACAGACATATCTACAGGCATATTCAAGGCAATCTGGATTCAATGTTCTAACGGCAGTACACAGAAAGAGCTCAGGGGAGTGTGCGGGCAGTGTGGAAGAGATTAATTCCAACATGGAGATAAAGGAGGCTTGTTGCTTAAGACTCCCTTTGAATGGATAGAATTTTGACAGACAGATATGGGGATGAGAAGCAGATGCCAGGTAGAACGAATATTTCTTTACTTGTCTCTGACTCTGTGGTTTCTGAATACATGAACTGTATTTCCATCTTTGTATTTACAATGCTTAGTACGGCCTTGGCATATGGCAACTTCTCAAGAGATGCTTGCTGGAAAATAAAGTTTACAAATATGGAGGTAAATAAAACTGGAAAGTTTGGTTGAAACCAAAGGGTAGCCATTGAAAGTTCTTGAGCTGGAGAGGGATGCAATCTGATCAGGGCATCTGTGAAGGATGAACTGGAGAGGAAAGAAATTGGACCAGGGGAACAGCTAGATGATACTTCAAAGGTACAGGTGAGAGTCAATGAAGATGTTAATTAAGCAGTGGAAGAGAAAGGAAGGGATGAGTGTCTTCTGGTTTTAAGTTTACATTTCTCTTACTTCTCTTTTAAAAATCACCAAAGCAATAAGAAGGACTAGAATAAGACATGTGTTCCATCACAGGTGAAACTAGGAAAAGAGACATAATCCCAAACCACAATATATAAAGACAAAAACTATTTGGAAGGTTGGGAATTGATTTGGCAGAGCAGAGAAAGCTTAAAAGATTAAAGTTAGGGGACTGTGGATGGGCATATCAGTGAGAAGCAATGCTGTTTATTCTGAAGAACCCAAAAGAGAACAAAAGCCTAGAGGTACTAAGTGCTATGGAAGGTGGAAGTGTATATAGTTGAAAAAAAGAGGAATTAATTGAAAGTGTGTAAAAGGATTGGTTAGACCTCAAGGACCCCACCCTGTACCTCCAGGTGATTATCCCTCTCTCAGTTTGATGGGAGAGAAGGGATTTATTCTCTAAAGCAATTGAACCAGAAGGCCTCTGAATTCAGACACACCAGGCATGGCAGAGAGCTTGGATGAGGTGGCCAACTGAAAAGAGAGGAATTACACGAAGGGCTGCATCTTGAATGGTGAGGTACTAAGTCCCCTTCCCCTACCCTATAGAAGACAAGCTGCCTTTACACTGTCATGAGAGGAGACTGAAGCATCCTTCTCTGGAGAATCCCAATGGCCCTGGCAAAGGAGGAGGGAAGGGCACGCGTGCACACACACACACACACACACATGCGCTTCCCCAAGGAAAACATCCAGTCCATAATTTGAACTCCAGCAGTCATCAAGCCTTGCCCAATCACAGAGGACTTCTAATCAGTCTTTTAGTGTCTCACTTTTAAAAATAAACAGAAAGTACAGGGTCTAGAAAGGCTGACAACATAAAAAGCAGAGAGAGGAAAAAGAACTCCAAGAAAACAAGGAGCAGAAGAAAACTTACTTTAAGGAAAACAGTAATTAGCATCCTCAGATGCTATGAAAAAGGAACAATAAGAGAATAAGAAAAAGCTTTTGTAAATTAGCAATATAATTAAATTAAAAATTCAAAAGAAAAATTGGAAGATTAAATTGAAGAAATCTCATTCAAAGTAGAACACAGTGACAAAGATATAAACAATAAGAGAGAAAAAGATAAGGAAATTGGAGGATTCAACCTCTGATATCAAACTAATAGAGGGTATAGAAAGATTGAACAGAGAAAATGGATGAAACAAAATTATCAAGGAAATAATTTGAGGACATTTTGGAAAACCAAAATACCAAGGTATTAAAAGACTAAAAAGTGTTCCTTCCAAAATAAAGTTTTTAAAAGGCTGCACCAGGACACATCATAAAATTTCAGTATGCCAGGGCTAAAGAACTGATAGAAAAATATTCCAGAAAGAAAAACAGGTTACATATAAAGGTTTAGTAACTAGCAGCTACCCCGGAATCTAGAAGACAGTGAAGAACTACATTCAGTATTATGAAGAAAAATTATTTCCACTCTAGGAATGTATAATTAGCCAAACTATCAAGATTTGTAATGACAGAATGAAGATATTTTAGACATACAAAAATCTCAACAAACCTACCTCCAATGTATCATGTCTGAAGAAGCTATTAGGCGATATGCTCCACTCAAGGAAAGAGGAAGCATGAGATCTGAGAAGGATGGGAGAAAGGTGAAGATAATTTCCAGGCTAGTGGTGAAGGAAAGTCTCAGGACAAGAGCCATGTAGCTGACTAGAGAGGAACCATTCCATAGAACAGGAAGATTAAAGGCTCAGGAGATAATTCTCTAGGCAAAAATAATATATACATATATATTATCATACCATATATATATGCATACATATATGGTATGATAGCAAACTGCATTTGGGAAGTCATTGGAGGAAATGGGAGGATTGAATGCATAGTCATTGGTACATAGAATACTAAGAAAATGGGGGGAAAAAGGCACATATTAACCCTGCAAAAAAACTACAGTTGAACAAGGAAGCAACCACAATAATAGTACACTACTTGATATAGCAGTAAACAGTACTTATGTGGTCCCAATTAGGTTGAATATTGAATAATGATTGAAATGAAATTGTGATGTAACTATTCAGATAAAAAGGTAAAAGAGGAGATAGCATGGGGTGAGTTTGAGAAAGTGAAGTAATCATTCGTTATCAGAGAAATTCCGTACATAATAATGGATACTGGAGAATCAAGAAAAAGCCATACAGGCTTATTATCTAGAATATAAAGGTACATACTGGAGGAAATAGCTAAAAGAATTGAAAGTGGCTACAGCTTGGCTAGGCTACTATATATGATGGTGAAGGCTATGCATTACACAAGTCTGGAGGGTGCCATTCCCATCGCAGAGGGTTTAAATGGTGCCCCCCAAATTGAGTTTTGTACAACCTACACAGCTTTATGCAGAAGTTTTGCCTTTTAGAAGCAGGACCAGTATGGGGCAGGTTGATGAGAGAATGGGACTGCTCTATTCAGTTATATACATTTTAGCACTATTTGCCTTTTAAAATTATGTGTTTGGATTTTTAAAAATCTAAAATAGAAAAGAAAGGAGAGGATGGATTTGAGATATATTTCTGAAACAGCTTATTGGGATTTGTCAGTCTCTGAGGAATAGGTGATGAAAAGAAGACAGTAAAGAGAGGGGAGAATAATCAGTTACATAGGGAGAAAAAGCAGAGGAAGTTAGGATCATAGAAGTCAGGAGAGAGTTACCAGAAAGAGATAGTGGACAACAGCGCCACATGCTGGTCATCAGGAAATTATACATGTTTTGGTATAAGAAGTCCTGGGACTGAGCCTCGCTCAGCTCCGTCACCCTCCCATCCACTGTTCCCTCATCTTTTTTTCCTTTTTTTTAACATCTTTATTGGAGTATAATTGCTTTACAATGGTGTGTTAGTTTCTGCTTTATAACAAAGTGAATCAGTTATACATATACATATGTTCCCATATCTCTTCCCTCTTGCGTCTCCCTCCCACCCTCCCTATCCCATCCCTCTGGGTGGTCACAAAGCACCCAGCTGATGATCTCCCTGTGCTATGTGGCTGCTTCCCACTAGCTATCTATTTTACGTTTGGTAGTGTATATATGTCCATGCCACTCTCTCACTTTGTCACAGCTTACCCTTCCCCCTCCCCATATCCTCAAGTCCATTCTCTAGTAGGTCTGTGTCTTTATTCCTGTCTTACCCCTAGGTTCTTCATGACATTTCTTTTTCTTAGATTCCATATATATGTGTTAGCATACGGTATTTGTCTCTCTTTCTGACTTACTTCACTCTGTATGACAGACTCTAGGTCCATCCACCTGACCACAAATAACTCAATTTCGTTTCTTTTTATGGCTGGGTAATATTCCATTGTATATATGTGCCACATCTTCTTTATCCATTCATCCGATGATGGACACTTAGGTTGTTTCCATCTCCTGGCTATTGTAAATAGTGCTGCAGTGAACACTGTGGTACATGACTCTTTTTGAATTATGGTTTTCTCAGGGTATATGCCCAGTAGTGAGGAAAATAGTGATGATGATACCAACCTCACAACACCACTTTGCTGTTGCTCTCATGAAATATAGAGTGGCAGTCTCGCTGGAGTAAGAAATCATTTTCAGCATCCGGTTTTACATCTTGGCAACACTCTCCTCAAACTAATCTAAGTATTACCTGGGGAAAGTGCTATGCTATTAGAAATGATTTTATTTTCAGAGTTATATTAATTATTCCCAAGGCCCTTGGGAAGATGTTTTTCTTTTAAATTAGACTGGGGTTAAGCTCTACTTCTTTGAAGCGGAGAGCTGCAGCTGGGATTTCTGAGGCTTTTGGAGACTTCCATGGAAATTCTCTGGCCCTGAAGAGTAGCTGTAGGGGACTGTCGGCCTCCTGCTGGATAGGGAGAATAAGCTCTTTCCTGCTGCAGGATTCTAGCTGCAAGATGAGCTTCCCTTCCTCTGGGAGTAGACACAGAACAGGGTCATTAAAGTGATGCTGTCTCAACTGAGTCCAGGTCTGGCTTTCAGGAAAGACAAATTGGATCTTGAGCCTGGAGGCATCTAGCCTAAAGCCTGAGCCCATGAAAGAGCGAGGAATATCTGGAAGGAAGAAAAATCTGGAGTGGAGTGCTGTTCCAACCTCACCAAAATCCATATCCTCTTCTTGCTTCAGGAAGGAGTCCTTCTTGCATTGACCAACCCCTGTAAAACTAGGCGAGGCTGTGGAGGAAGCCCCTAGTGTCTCTCAGCACCAAGAGAACGCCTCCTGCTTCACTCTTTCTGGCCGCATGGAAAATAATAACAACGACAACAACATCAACAGTTTTATAGAGCATACTATATGCCAGGCACTGTCTTCAGCGCTTTACTTAGATTAACTTTTGTACAGGTGAGGAAACTGAGGCACAAAGAAATTAAACAACTTGCCTAATATTAGAGACATGCCAAATATTAAAGGCTTTGTGCTTTGGCTAATGCTATTTCTTTATCCTGAAGTGAAGAGCAATGGAGTGATAAAAATTAGATGGGATTTGAAATTAAATTCATCTCTATCTGTCTAGTCTCTTTCCAGCTGTGGCAGAGAATGCTAACTGTCTTCTGGATAACAACTTTCCCTCTATCTAGAAATAACAGAACACTGACTTTTGTATGGACACATCACTGACAACCTAAGAGACTGATCATGTGACTAAAATTTAAAAATGATATATAGGTGAAAATGTTATGTGGGATTTCTGAAAATTTTCTTATATTGAATGTACTTAGTCCTTCTTCCTCCTTTCTCTGTTCTGCTCTTTGGAGTGTTGGTGTGATAGCTAGAGCCCCAGCAACTATCTTGCACAACAAAGTTGAGAACCACACCTCAAGGATGATGGAGCAGAGATCCTGAAAAATCCTGGGTCTCTGCTGACCATGCAATGGCCATGTCAGCCCTGAATTACCTGCCTTTGGACTTCTGCCTCATTTACACTTTTATTTTTCAGGTTTTTGTTATTCATAGGAACTTGGGGTCCGATTCAACCACCAACTAGGTGATCACAATGCCATAATAAATTTAGCAGAGGAAAAACAATAAAGCAGGTGAAACACCAACCTAGCCATAACAATTCTCAGTAGGACATTCATGGAACATTTAACCTTGAACAGTGAACCCTTCTTGATATGTCCTTTAAGATGCACTGTAACCATTTTTAAGGGTACTGTCCAGTAGTATTAAGTACAGTCACATTGTTGTGCAAACATCACTACCATCCATCTCTCCAGAATTCTTTCTATCTTGGAAAACTGAAACTCTGTACCCATTAAACTGTACTCTCCACTCCCCCTCTTCCCAGACCCTGGAAGCCACCATTCTACTTTTTGTCTCTATGAACTATTCTAGATCTCTCATATAAGTGGAATCATAGAATACTTGTCTTTTTGTAACTGGTTTATTTCACTTAGCATAATATCTTCAAGGTTCATCCGTGTTGTAACATTTGTCAGAATTTGATTCCTTTTTAAGGTTGAATAATATTCCATTGCGTGTATGTACCACATTTTGTCTATCTATCATCGATTGATGGATACTTGGGTTGCTTTCATGATTTAGCTATGTGAATAATGCTGCAATGAACATGACTGTACAAGTATCTCTTTGAGATCTTTGCTTTTAAGTCTTCTGGGTATTCACCCAGAAGTGGAATTTCTAGATCATATAGTAATTCTATTTTTATTTTTCTGAGGAACCACCATATTGTTTTCCATAGCACCTGTACCATTTTACATTCATACCAACCGAGCACAAGGGTTTCAATTTCTTCTACGATTTCTTTCCTTCCCAACACTTGTTATTTTCTGGGGGTTTTGATAGCAGCCATCTTAATGGGTGTGATGTAGTATCTCACTGTGGTTTTGATTTGCATTTATCTAATGATTAGTGATATTGAGCATATTTTTGCCATTTTAATATAAGAGAATGTTATCTTTGTGTTCTTTTTGGTGTAGTGGGAATGTGTGGGTATCAAGCCAGTGTTATCAAGTCTTTTGCATACAATCTTTTAAAAGTCCAGGACACATCCCTGTTTATCTCACTCCATTTGAATGATGCCCATTAGACATCAGAATCACATTCCAATTTCTCCAACTCTTAGACAGTGAAAAGCCTGTTCTGCACAAGCATTAGGAATTGGGATCAATATCAAGATCATGTGGCTTTTCTCATAAGCACTTCCTGTCCATAAAGGCTATAACAGGCACTCTTAGGTGCTTTCCTATGGCTTTGAGCTTTCTTAGGCAATAAGAAGTCTATGATAAAGTCATTTGAAAAATTCCTGGATGGCCTCCTCTCATTTCTGCTTTACATGTTTCTTCCCTGTCAAGCAAGGCACCAGGAGGGTAAGTGCTATATTTGCTGGAGCAGAGTGTGAATAAAATCATTTTAAGGTAATGGCAATCCATTCAGAGGAGATGAGAGGAGATGAGAGAAACCTCTCCTTTGAGGCATCTAAGATTTAAAAGATTCTTTGATGGTAACAGCTCAAATAGAGCAAGAGAAACCTGGTGCAGGTCCCCTGACCTCCCCAGCACAATCATAAGTACAGATAGGCTCCAGGGAAGCTATGCAAAAATAAGTGAGGGGGAAAATGTATACTTTTTACTCAGACCACAGCAAAAAAGAGGGCTGGCCACAACATAAAATGTACAATATAGATAGAAATGTAAGTTCCCTGAAATTCATTCTATGTACTACCATTCTGTACCAGTTTTTTGAAGAAAGTACATTTGGCAAGGATTTTTTTAAAATGTAGATTAATAAATCTATCTGTGAAAGAATTGTCTATGGGAATCTACTCATTCCATAAAAACTTGAAACAAGGGCTCATTGGAATCACTGCCAATCCTGGTGTTTAGATCTCCAGAGATGTTATTTGAGCCTGGAGAATAAACACAGATTATCCTCAAAAGGAGACCGTTTGTCTGAGCAGACTGGGAAGTGTGTGGTAAGGTGGAGAATCTTCACCTTATCAGGAAAATGAATCAAAGCCAGGAGAAAGGAATTCTGCTCAAACACGCTGTGGAGCAAAGGTTGATTGAGATAAGGGTGGCCCATTCACCACAACTGCTATCAAAATTCCTATTTTTTCCTCTTGACAGTCACAGAAATAAATAGCACCCCCCGCCATGGAAAAAGAATGTCCTAAAATGAAAGGTGACTTTAAGCATGTTAGTTTGAGGGGAACAAAGAGCTGACCTTTGAAAGCATGCTTTAGACTCTATTCTGAATCCCATCTGAAGGGTCCATACACAAAGTACAGCATCTGCCCTTTTAAGCGTCCCTTGAGTGCTTTACTTGACTTGAACACTTAAAACTCTGTAGCAAAGGACCTTAAAACTCTCAGAAAACCTAACACACCGGAGTCTTTACCATAGGATCTCAATTGGTCATGTTTGAAGTGAGGATCTTTACTTAACAAGGAGCAGCAATCACACACACATGCCACCCCTGGCCTTTTCATAGAGCAGCATAGCACGGGGCAGCGGGTGGGGATCATCACAGGGCTGACACTCTGGTGTAAGAGCCTGAGTTTTCATCCTGGCTGTACTGCTTCCTAGTTGTGAGTCTCTGGGCATATTATGTAAAATCTCTATACCTCGATTCCCTCATCTGTAAAATGGCAATAGAAATAATATATACCAACTAGTGTGCCTATGAAGATTAAATGCGATCATTCACATACAGTGCTTAGAACTAGGGCTGGCATATGCCACATATTTAACAATTGTTACCTATTATTACTAATTTTATCATTAGATAATTATCCCTTGCTCCCAGTAAATGGCCCACATCTGCCTGGCCTCATTCCTCTGGTCTAAGGTAGTCCAACCAGTTCCTGGAAATGGAGTATCTTCAGGGTGTCCAGGTGAGATCACTTGCCTTGAGGAGAGACTTAGTTGGGACTCAGCCAACTAAGGTCTCAGCCCTGAAGAATTCATCAGGGCTCTCTAAAGTGACAAGGTAGCTCAAGAGCTTATCAGTGTAGCCCTCCAGAAGTGACCCTCCCTGAGATTGTGAGGGAGGCTCTTCAGCCAGGCTGTGCAGTAATGGCCTTGGACCAGAGAAGGATTTACAGCAAAGCTAGCAAAACTTAGCTCCAGGGCCCTTAACTTGCATGGGCTTGCTCCAAGGCCCTGGGCAATGCCTGTCAATTTAATATTCATAATTTTATATTATTTTTCTTAAGGAGGTCTCCCAAATTATATAATCTTTGGACCCCACAAAGTCTGAATCCATCCCTACATAGTACTTGTCATGGGGAGAAAGCACATATTTTGTAGGGTCCTATAAATGGACTGAACGTAACTTTCATGGAAGCCATTGATAAGAAGTGGCGGGGGGAGGCTTCCCTGGTGGCTCAGTGGTTGAGAGTCCGCCTGCTGTTGCAGGGGACGCGGGTTCGTGCCCCGGTCCGGGAAGATCCCACATGCCGCAAAGCGGCTAGGCCCGTGAGCCATGGCCGCTGAGCCTGCGCATCCGGAGCCTGTGCCCCGCAACGGGAGAGGCCACAACAGTGAGAGGCCCGCGTACCGCGAAAAAAAAAAAAAGAAGTGGGGGAATTTTCTTTTTGGCCTCGGCCAGCAGTTCTCCACTTCAAGGTGTGCTGGAGGTATATGAGAATGATCAGATTTTCTTTCTCAAGATACAAGTACTTGGTGGGGAAAAGTCTCAAGTTTTTTCCCCAGGTAATTTTAACACACTCCTCCAAATTGGCTGACCACCATTAGGCTGGATTATGGGGCTCTACTTCCCTAGAATATAGTCTGTTTTCTCTTCCACCTGCAGTGGAAGCTGTGGTGCATCACTCAGTTTCTCTCCCCCTCCCCCAGGGAGTATTATCTGCTGATAGCACACACCCACCAAGTCCCCTCCCCACCAGCATTGCCCTCAAGGGAAGGAACTTCATACCCAAGATTACACCTCCTGGTACGTTCAGGGTTCTAGTGAATAAAGGCTCAGTCCCCAACCTCAAACTGCCGTATCTCTGAGGGTCCATCTCGGTTTCAGAGCTCCCCGTGGGACAAAGACCTCGGTTACAACTGCATCCTAGTTCAACTTCTCCCTCTATCTGCCCTGCTTCTCTCACTTTCTTACAAGTGCTGTTTCTGAGTGCCCTCCCCCACAAACCTCCTGAATGCAAGTTTCTGCCTCAGTCTGTTTCCCAGGGAACCTGACCCACGACATACTTCAATCTCCCTTATCCCCCCTGCCCCCACATCTTTACAGCATCTCAGAAGAGAAACTTTTAAAGTTATCAGAAATATGGTAAATTTGTGGGGCATACATTATGGACATATGAAGTCAGCTATATAAATTCCTAGGTAAAACAAATTAAACTACAGAAATAAAAAGGATTATTTGGAGATGGTTTAAAAATAAACTAAATCAAATGCTTATAGATTAAAGAAACACATTAGACTAGATAAAATAGACAAAGTTCAAAATAAAAAGATAAAATGCTAGAAGTCAAGATTTTTAGAAAGTAAAAAGAAATGAGATTAAGATTTCAAATGGAAAGCTAAAACCCAGGATATGAAAAGATGAAAATGTATAGGATTTGAGGATTAGGAATAAAATTCAAGAACTAAAAGGAAAAAGAAAAAGAATTTAGGAATGATTTAAAAAATAAAAGCAATTCCTCAAAAGGTGAAACAGAGAATTACCATGTGATCAAACAATCACTTCTAGGGATATACCCCCAAAATTTGAAAGTAGGGTCTCAAGCAGATACTTGTACACCCATGTTCATAGTAGCATTATTCACAGTAGCCTCAAAGTGGAAACAATCCAACTGTGGGTAAAGAAAATGTGATATACACATACAATGGAATATTATTCAGCCTTAAAAAGGAAGGAAATTCTGATACACGTTACTACATGGATGAATCTTGAAGACATTCTGCTAAGTGAAATAAGCCAGTCACAAAAAGACAAAGAATGTATGATTCCACTTATATGAGGTGCCTAGAGTTGCTAAATTCACAGAGAAAACAGAATGATTGTTACCAAGAGCTGAAAGGAGTGGGGGAATGGGGTGTTGTTATTCAACGGTACAGAGTTTCAGTTAGGAATGATGAAAAGTTTTGGAGATGGATAATGGTGATGGTTGCACAATGTGAATGTTGTACTTAATACCACTGAATTATACAATTTAAAATTATTAAAATGGTAAATCTTACATTATGTTTACCACAATAAAAAGTCTCCCCCAAAGTTAAAAAATCAAAGCAAAATGTTCACAGATTAGAGAAACGTATAGTTAACTAAAAGGTAGAGAGAGAGAGGATAAACCTGGCCAAGTTGACAAGCTTTGGCTCTGAGCAGAGCTCGGTGGAGTGATGGGGGGCAGTGCTCGTTCACGGAGGAGGTGGGAGCAACGCGGTGCCCCTGCTCTCACCACACGCCATGCTCATGTTCCTGCCAAAGGCACATTTTTCAGCTGGGTCTTCTAGCAACAGGGAACATGCATTCTGGGTCAGACTCCCCCTGAAACTTCTCAGGCACCTTCCATAATCCATGTTGAGAAGAGGAAGTGTTTCTGAGCAGGTCTCACCTGGAGGGAGAGACTCTTCAGCACAGAAATGGAGAGGGGAGCCTTAAAGCCAAGATGGAAGCTCCTGACTCACTCAATTATTTTAACCAGCACATTTCGGGGCAGTGGTATTTTAAGCTGTGTCTGAAGGAACTCTTTCCCATGGGTTGGAATGGAAGTCTTGGCAGCTATCCCTCTGCCTTCCTGACAATTGTCCCCTCTTTCCTGACATTCATCCCAGCCCATAGTTCTAGCATTGAGACTCCTTCTCACAGGGACACTTGGATGATGAAGAAACCTCCGAGGAGGAAGCTGCTTTTCCGGGTCTGGAGGAAGTGGAAAGGCAAATTTGACCTGAATTTTACCTGGTTCTGTTCCCATGTGAACTGTGAATGGCTGCCAAGCATTCCCACCCAGCTGCAGCCAACACCAGTGTTTCTCTTCATTCTTCAAAACTAGATTTTCCAGGAAGACATCCTAAATTAATTCCATTTGTGATGTTTCCTTAAGATTCAGTAATTTATTTGTTCATTTCTTTATTCATTTAGCTATCATTTTATTCTATAAATATCTATTCAACAAATATTTATTGAGTGTCTAATATGTGTCATTGTGTTAGAAATTATGGTTGGAATCTTAGAGAGGTTGATTCTAGCATAAATACTTCATTTTATAGGTAGGGATACAGGCCCAGAATTGCTTTATCCAATATGAAAGCCACAAGCCATATATAGCTATTTAAATTTAAATTAAGATTAATAAGTCAGTTTCTGAGTCACATTAGTTACAATTCAATTTAGCAATAACCTGATGACTAATGGCTACCATGTTGGACAGTCAGATCTAGAACATTTCCAAAGGTTTCATTGAACAATAAGTGTCTAGAGAATTAAGTGAATTGCCCTGGATCACATAGCCATTTTATAGTTCAAGTAGAACACTGTGAACAACCATAATTTTCCAGTGTCTTATGTTTCTGCCAAAATAAAATGAGACTGAGAATTATTCTAGTTGTAAAGACCAAAACATTTGGAAGAAAACAGAACAAAAATAGAGATGTATATATATTAAAGTATCCAGGTAGTTGACTCCAGCTAGAGTAAAATATCCAGTTATCCAGACTGAATGTTTTTATTCATAAAACAAGTTGTTAAAAACCTTGAAAACATGGCTTAAATGATTACCCTGGGCCCCTGAGGGCTGTGCACTTATTTTAATTGCAGAATCACCCCTTCAGCTAAGATAGACTCCGACCCTACAGATCCATCCCTGATGGAGCCAGAAAGATCCATAGGCTGTAGGGCCGTTGAGGTTTTCCATGGAGGACAGTGGCTGGGAACCCAGGGTTTGAGTTCTGTATCCAGCATTTGGATAAGTTTCTTAATTTCTCTGACCATCAGAATCCTCATCTCTGAAATGAGTATAATACTACTGATTTGGCAAGGCCATTTTGAAAGTCAAATGTGATGATTTATGTGGGAGTGCTTTGAAAACTTTAAAGCATTAATCAGATATTCTTGTTAAAATGCCATTCCTTTCCCCTTGGGGCTGGACACACCTGCCTCCCTCCTTGCTGCTTCATAATTAAACCCTCCCACACCATTGCTCAGACTTTTTGTGTGCCATTTCCACCTGTGCTGGGAGCGGGGACGTGGGGGCATGGCTCTTGACAGTAGAAGTACAAATTGTCCTGTTTTGTATTATTATTGTTGTTATTTTTGAGTTTCAAAAGCAACATTGATGGCAAATGAAATAACAAATAAGCTGAAATTACTTCCAAGGGCCAGATTACTTCAGCCTACCTCTGTCCCTTACTGATCATCTGAGCCAGCTCAGGAAAGTCTGGATTTTTTTCTTCATTACAGATGCTAGCTTGTTCTTATAGTTGGGGGCCCAGCTGAGAGGGAGTAAGGCTAGTTTTCCATTTTTCTTGAAGATTCTTTGAGTAGGGATTGGGCCATGCCATCTGACGTAAACAGAAATGTCTGAACTGGTAGCAAGTACCCCCTAACTCCGTGCAATGGTTTATTATGATTGGCACCGAGGGACGTTTCAAAGAACAGAAGGCTAGTGTGGTCTCCACACCTTCCACACAAAGAGGAGCTTTTATTATTTGTTCCCTTTGGAGTCTGTGTTGTATCAAGGATATTTACAAAAGTAACAATCACCACTGCCATGTATTGGATAATTCACATACATTATCTCATTCAATCTTGCAGAATAACCCAAAGAGGTAAGAATGATTATTTTTCTCATTTTTACAGATTAACAAACTGACTCTTTGAAATAATTGTCTGCCTTAAAAAGTGCATTGATTAGGCACTTGTACATTTACTCATTTATTATTTTTATTCTATTTTATTTTTTTGGCTGCACCACGTGGCATATGGGAACCTAGTTCCCCGACCAGGGGTGGAAGCCACACCCCCTGCAGTAGAAGTGCAGAGCTTAACCACTGGACTGCCAGGGAAGTCCTACATTTGCTCATTTAAACAAATAACTGAAGACCTGTCACTGTCAGACCAAGCTGATCATCACAAGATATCCAGTGTTGCCAGTAGATATAATTCTTGTCAGAGTAGAAAAACCTGATACTGTGGTTAGCTTATGCATCTTTATGGTGGGTAAACATACAGTTTCAATCAATTGTTCTGAAATCATGAAAAGCCCTTGTGAGATCATCTAGAGGTGTGTGTTCACTGGGTCAGGGACTACTGGGGCCCTATGGGGATGGCTGATCTGTCCAAAATTAATTATCAGAACTCCCTTGTATCATCACAAGAGGCTGCCGGACATTTAAACCATTTTTTCCAAGCTGAAAATAAATTAGTTAAATCTTGAGGCTGAATTATATATTAGATAATGCTTATTTTCCCTTTTCTAATGTTAGTTAGAGCTCATTAAAGGCAAGTATCAGCATCACCAGGAACAATTATAGGGCTCTGTCTTGGGTCCTATTCTCTGCTCTGCTCACCTGGGTAATCCCATGCCATCCCAGGCTTTGAAATCCATCCATAGACTAATGATGTCCCAATACATATCGTTCTCCAGGCCTGACAACTTCCCTGAGCTCTAGATGACTTGGTCTTTACACCTGGATGCCTAGCAGGTATCTCAAGATATCAAGTCCAAACAGAGCTCTTGATCTCACTCTGCCCCCAAACGTGCTCCTTTGCTGCCTTCCCCACTTCAACAAATGGAATCACCCTCCTTCAGGAAAGTCAAGTCCAAACCTATAGATCATGCCTGATTCTACTCTTCCCCTCACTGTCACATTCGATCCTGTCACTTCTTCCTCCCAAATGCATCCCACAAGTCTCTCCTCCTTTCCACCTTTCCACCTCTTGCTCCCAACCAAGCCAGCACCAACTATCCTCGGACTGTCCTAAAAGCCTCTTGTTTCCTCTGCTTCCACTCTAATGAACTTCAAATCAAAGGACGGTAGGTAACTGCTGGGCCATTGCCTTTAAATTAAAAATGAGACGGAGTGAACAAAAATGACGGAAGAATCAAAGTTAGTGTTAAAGAAAAAACAATTTCTTGTCAAAATAGTGATTTCTTGTGTGTGTGTGTGTTTAGGGTGGTGGTGGTATTGACTGGGAAGAAACATGAAGAAAACTTCGGGGCTGTTGGAATATCCTATATCTTGATCCAGGTGGTGGTTCTGTGGGTGCATATATATATATGCATGTAAGTAACACTTCAGTTTTTAAAAGTTCAAAAAGAAAGAAAGAGAAAGGAAAGAACTTCTTGCCAAGATTCTAAAGACAGTTTGGCAGCACATAAAGGGATGTTGTGGAACCTACTTTCCTGGCTTCTTTTCAGAATGGGATGGAGTCCTAGCTGCCTGGGGTGTTCAGTGCCTAGAATTAAAGAGGTATAATCAGAAATTACATTTTTTCTGCTTAATTCTACCCTTGACCTTGTGCTAGGTGCATCATGATGAATATTTAATGAGTCACTTAGCATTTCGTCACAGAAGAGTATTTAAGGACTCGATGAATAGTTAATATGCTGAGTGGAGAGAGGTTTGAGAGTATCCAGCCTAGGCCATCCTCACTGTGGAAGCAAATTACTGTGGGACTCCGTTGGGTCAAAAGCAGCCATCTGTTTATCAGATCTTTCCTGATATGCCCCAAAGCCACTGCACCCTTCAGCTTCAGAAATAAGTCCACCCAAAGCAAAACCAGGCTCTGGTGATAAAAGAATGCCTTGGAAATGTACATTTATGGAGGAACACAGCAACACAGCCTGTGGAACCCCAAAGAAGCCAAATTGACTAATGGTTTTCCTTTTCTCTGTTCCTATTGGCCAACCATGGGATGAAAAGACCAATAGTCCAACGTGCAGCTGAGTATACCTGGCCTAGGTGTGTTGTCATCTGCAGGCAGGTGCGGTGCTTGCCAGATTGGGTGGGGTGGGTGTGTAGGAGATGGGTGTTCAGTGTGCAGAATGACAGCACAGTAGTTAAAGCCTGGTCTCCAGAGTTCAAGGCCCACTGTTGCCACTTCCTAGGTGTGTAACTCTGGGTAAGCTTCTGAATCTCTGGTCTCAGATTCCTCAGCTATGCAGTAGGGAGTTGGGCCGGTGGGCCTCTGAGATCCCTCTGACCTTGACCTTCCACAGCCCCAATTCCCCACACTCATCTCTGCCCGCAGCAGGTAGTCTGGTCTGAGTAAGAGGCTGTGATGGAGGAACAGAGACTGAGGGCTACTGCTGTGTACATGTTTGAAGGAGCCTCAAATGACAAAAGTGTCTGAGCAAATCTTTCTCCTGTCTTCGCCAACATTGATTTTTCCAAATGTGGGATCAATGCACTGTTGAGATGGGGAGGGGAAGAGTTCTCGATGTTCTCTGAGACCACAGAGGGCAGGCCCTTGCAGAGCTGTCTCCTTCCATCGCCAGCCTTTGTGACTCTTCCTGGGGCTTCTGCAGGCATGATCGATGCTGACAACACTGTCTGAGAAGGATGGGAAGTGGGGGGAA